GAGGTGGGGACAGGCTAGAGACCAGCCAGGACCCATTGCAGTAGGTCCAGGAGAAAATGAGGTGTGAATTACGTGCATTCTTTCATTGCTAAGGTTTTGCTCCTACTCTTCCCCAAGTGGGGAATCTGCCCTCTTTACCCCATTTCTCTACCTACTGAGATTCTGCTCATCCTTCAAGGCTGAGTTCAAATCTTGGTTTCTCTGTAAAGCCTCTGCACTCCCACCGCTTGGTAGAGTTACCTCCACAGTGTTTTCACAGCCCTCTGTTTCTTCAAGAATGGTATTTCTATCTCCCTTGTTCTATCACTAATCATTTATATCTCCCAACCAGACTGTAATAACATTGAAGAGCCATTTCCTACCTTTAAGGAAAAAAAGCCTCATAGTCTTAGTGCAAAGCTTTGTATGTTATAGATTCTCAATAAATATCCATTGAATGAAAATCATTAAAAAACATATATAGAGAGCTTTAAAAAGAACTATAATTTCATTTTTCTCTGTTCATGTCACTTATCAGTCCTTTTTTCCTAATTTTATTATACTTAAACTAAAAAAAACTGCTCATAATAACCATACCCCTAAATAAATGCTTGTTTTCCCCAACAGTGTAATTTGATGTTATGCATATCAGCATCCACTTTGTGGGATTTAAAACTCTTGGTCCGTAAGACTCACCTAGGGAGTTCACACACACACACACACACACACACACACACACACACACACACACACACAATTTTCCCAGAGTCACTTCCACATATTTTCATATTTTGGTTCAATTGGTCTGACGTGGCCCTTATTTTAAAAGTTCCTCAGGGGATCCCTGGGTGGCGCAGCGGTTTGGCGCCTGCCTTTGGCCCACGGCGCGATCCTGGAGACCCAGGATCGAATCCCACATCGGGCTCCTGGTGCATGGAGCCTGCTTCTCCCTCTGCCTGTGTCTCTGCCTCTCTCTCTCTCTCTCTCTGTGTAACTATCATAAATTTAAAAAAATAATAATAATAATTAAAAGTTCCTCAGTTGATGTTAGCTTATAGCCAGGTTGAAGTTTTAGTAGATTGATTTATGCCCCAAGGGCATTTCTTTTGAGATCCTCTACCAAAGAAAGCTCAGAGTCTTCACTTAGATTCACTTGGGAACAATCTCACTTGGCCATCTGGCTGACTCCCTGGATCCTCCTCATTTCCACCAAAATTCTGGCAATATATAAACTTCCCTTCACTGCCCCCAAAATAAGTAAATAAAATCTTTTTTTTTTTAATTTTTATTTATTTATGATAGTCGCACAGAGAGAGAGAGAGAGGCAGAGACACAGCCAGAGGGAGAAGCAGGCTCCATGCACCGGGAGCCCGACGTGGGACTCGATCCCGGGTCTCCAGGATCGCGCCCTGGGCCAAAGGCAGGCGCCAAACCGCTGGGCCACCCAGGGATCCCTAAATAAAATCTTTTTAAAAAGATTTATTTATTTATTTATTCATGAGAGACATGTTGTGCCCAAGATTGTGAATCCGAGAAACCACCAAGGAGCCGACACGGATGCAAGCGCATGAAGGTTTATTTACAAACTCAAGCTTGGGTCCAAGTATACCAGACACAGTGGAGCAGGGACTTGGATCCCGAAGTGGGTTACAGCTGGGTTTTTTATGGGCTGGTCTAGGGGATTTTCAGAATGGATGGAAGAATTTCTCAAGTTTTGTTTACATTTTGATATGGGGCTTTCAAGGGCATTGAGCTCTGTTCTCATTCTAATATGGGACTTTCTACCACAGGTGTGGGCTCTGTTGTCTTTCTGATATGGGATTCTCTGCCGAGGGCAATTCTGAGCTGTAGTCTTTCTGATATGGGATTACCTGCCTAGGACATTGAGGACATTCTGCAGTTTTTCCTATAAAGTTCAGCTCTTATTCACAGGGGCCTAAGATGGCTGTACTTGTGCTAATGCTAAACTTGAGATGGAATGGCCTTGATTTTTATCGGCCTTCACAAGACACACAGAGAGAGGCAGAGACATAGGCAGAGGGAGAAGCAGGCTCTTCACAGGAGCCTGATGCAGAACTCGATCCCAGATCCCAGGATCACCACCTGAGCCGAAGGCAGCCGCCCAAACACTGAGCCACCCAGGCTTCCCAATATCAAAGTGAACTTTATTTATTTTTTTAAAAAGATTTTATTTATTTATTCATGAGAGACACAGAGAGAGAGGCAGAGACACAGGCAGAAAAAGAAGCAAGCACCATGCAGGGATCCCGATGTGGGACTTGATCCCTGCCCTGGGCCGAAGGCAGGCGCTCAACCACTGAGCAACCCAGGAATCCCTGGAAGTAAACTTTAATACTAAAGTTAGTAAACAGGAATATTTTATAATGATAAAATGGTCAGGAAGATATAATAATTATACAGATGTACATATTTACCTAAAACTGAGCCCCAAAAGACATGAAGCAAAACTTGACAGACTTGAATGGAGAAATAGGCAATTCAGTGATTATAGTTGGACTTAAAAATGCAACTTTCAATAATAGATAGAATGACTAGAAAGAAAGGCAGCAAAGGGGGTGCCTGGGTGGACTCAGTCAGTTAAGCGTATGCCTTTGACTCAGGTCATGATCCCAGGGTCCTGGGATTGAGCCCCACATCAGGCTCACTGCTCAGTGGGGAGTCTGCTTCTTCCTCTGCCTGTTCTCTATCTCCCTCTCTCTCTCTCAAATAAATAAATAAAATCTTAAAAAAAAAAGGCAGCAAGGAAATAGAAGACTTTAACAAGACTATTCACCAACTCATGGACCTCATGGACATATATAGAACAGTCCTCCCCACATTGGCATAATACACATTTTCTTAAATACACATGAAATAGTCTCTAGGATGGACTTTCTTGTAGGCCATAAAACAAATTGCAATAAACATTAAAAGATTAAAATCATGCAAAGTATGTTATCTGATAACAGTGGAATGAAATTAGAAATTAATAACATAAATTTGAGAAATTTACAAGTATATGAAAACCAAACAACATGCTCTTAAATAATTAATGGGTCCAGGAAGAAATCCCAATAGAATTTAGAAAGTTTTTTTTTTTAAGATTTTATTTATTTATTCATGAGAGACAGAGAGAGAGAGAGAGAGAGAGAGAGAGAGAGAGAGAGAGAGGCAGAGACACAGGCAGAGGGAGAAGCAGGCTCCATGCAGAAAGCCCAACGTGGGACTCGATCCTGGGTCTCCAGGATCACGACCTGGGCTGAAGGCAGCTGCTAAACTGCTGAGCCACCCAGGGATACCTTAAAAAGTATTTTAAAGTGAATGAAAACAAAAACACAACATTGCAAACTTATGGGAAGCAACAAAAATAGTGCCAAGAGAGAAGTCTATACCTGTAAAGACCTAGATTAAAAAAAAAAAAGACCTAGATTAATAAAGAAGATTTCAAATCAATAACCTAACTTCCTATTTAAAGAGACTAGAAAAATAAGAGCACACTAAATCCAAAGCATGGACAAATGAAGTAAATAATAACTACTATAGTGTAAACAAGTGAAATAGAAAAAGAAAAATAAGTTCAACAGAGCCAAAAACTGGTTCTTTGAAATGAATAACAAAATTAAAAAGCCTTTAGATAGACTGACCATGACAAAAAGAGAAGACCCAAATTACTAAAATCAGAGGTAAAAGGGGGTCATTACTATCCATCTTACAGAAATCAAAAGAGTATAAAGGAACACTATGAGCAAATGTGTGTCAACAAATTAGACAATCTATATGAAAAGGACAAATTCCTAAAAACACATAAATACTCAAAACTGATTCAAGAAAAAAAAATAGGGGGCACCTGGATGGTTCAGGTGGTTAAGCATCCTACTCTTGGTTTCAGCTCAGGTCATGACTTCATGGGTCATGAGATCAAGCCCCACATCAGGTTCCACAATCAGTGGGGAATCTGCTTGAAAATTCTCTACTTCTGCCTCCCTATCCCTCTCATAAATAAATAAATCTTTAAAAAAAGAAAAGAAAAAGTAGATAATCTAAATAGACTGACAGTAAGTAAAGAGATTTAATTAGTAAACAAAGATACCCACCAAAAAAAGCCAGGTACACATTGATTCACTGCTAAATTCTATCAAACATTTAAAGAATTAATACAGTGGCATTTGGCTGTTTCAGACAGTGGAACATGTGACTCTTTATCTCAGTGGTGTAAGTTTAAGCCCCACGTTGGGTGTAGAGGTTAAAGGAAGGAATGAAGGAAGGAAAGAGGGAAGGAAGGAACGGGGAAAGGAAGAGAATAAATCCCCAAAGTCTATCAAAAAACAGGAGAGATTACTTTCTAACTTGTTCTATGAGTTCAATATAATATGATAATGAAGATAGGTATCACAAAAAAGAAAACCACAGACCAATATCACTTATGAACATAGGTGCAAAAATCCTCTGCAAACACTGGAAAACTAAATCCCATATCATAAAAAAAGGATTATGCACCATGACCAAGTGGTATTTATCCCCAAGAAAGCAAGGTTGGTTCAACATATGAGAATCAATGTAATACATCATATTAATAGAATAAAGGAAAACCACAGGATCACCTAAATAGAGGAAAACATTTGACAAAATTCAATGCCCTTTCATAATAAAAACACTCAACAAAATAGGATAGAAGGAAATTTTCTCATCCTGCTAACGATCATTCAGGAAAAACCCATAGCTAAAATCATGCTTGCTGGTAAAATACTGAAAACATTTTCCCTAAGATTAGAAACAAGAAAGACAAAGATGTCCATTCTCATCACTTCTATTTAACATTGTGTGGGAGGTTCTGGCCCAGCAATTAGGCAAAAGCAAAAAAAAAAAAAAAAAAAAAAGAAGAAGAAGAAGAAGAAAAGAAAAGAATCAAGACTGGAAAAGAGGAAGTGAAACTACTTCTGTTTCTGAATCCCAATCCTAAATTTGCCTGTCACTGAAAAGACAAATAATCAAGAGACAAGGTTTCATTGGAAAGGATTTTGAGCTTTATTCAGGAGGCCAGCCACCTGGGGAGAGGGCAGTCTTGTACCAAAACCAACTGCAAGGTTTCTGCCTTGCCCAGGGGTTCTTAAAAGGGTTTAGGGCAGTTACTCAGCAAAGGGAACGCAGTGGCCTGCAACATGTCTTGATCATGTGCAGACTCCGTGGTGCCAGCTACAGACATTATCTCAGTGCTTGAGGGATGTGTGAGGAGGTACAGTTCCTGTTTTATGATGCATAGGACTACTTTGTTCTTTCCTCAAAGGAGGGCAAGGTCTACAAGATACACAAAGGGAGGTTAGTAAAATCATTTGTGTGGCCTAAAAAAGAAAAACATTTTGCTAAAAAATTGCTATGCTAATCAGAAAACCAAGGCAGCCTCAGAGAGGCTTGCTGGCCCCTGGGGCCTGGGAACACTGGTGCCTTCACTCCTCAAAGCCCATGATCCAGAGACTTAGGTCAGCACTTGGGGAGTGCATTAGCCTGAAGCAAGTTAATCCTTAAGATCAGCTGAAGTGCTGTTACACTCCTATTTGCATGATGACAAGATCTCGTGTGTTGAAAACCCTAAGGAACCCACCAAAAAACTATTAAAGCTTATAAGTTAATTCAAGTAGCAGGATACAGGGTCAATATATGAAAATCAATTGAATTTCTATATACTAGCAATGACCAATCTGAAAATTAAATTAAGAACAATTTCATGGGGGATCCCTGGGTGGCACAGCGCTTTGGCGCCTGCCTTTGGCCCAGGGCGCGATCCTGGAGACCCGGGATCGAATCCCACATCGGGCTCCCGGTGCATGGAGCCTGCTTCTCCCTCTGCCTGTGTCTCTGCCTCTCTCTCTCTGTGACTATCATAAATAAATAAAAAATTAAAAAAAAAAAAAGAACAATTTCATGGATAGTAGCATCAGAAAAAGACAAAATAGGAATAAATTAACTGAGGAAGTGCAAGACTTGCATACTGCAAACAAGACCCAAAAAAAGCAGAGGATTTAAATAAATGAAAGACATCCACTGTTTATATATTGGAAGACATGATATTTTTTTAGATGACAATACTATACAAATTGAGCTATAGATTCAATGTGATCTGTATAAGAATCTAATTGCCTTTTTTGCAGAACTGGACAAGCTGATCCTAAAATTCATATGGAAATGCCAAGCGATTTTGAAATGATAGATGTCTATCTATATGAAAAGGGGTAAATAAATCATGGCATTTTCATAGAATGGGATAGTACACAGAAATTTAAAAAAAGCTACTTCAACAGTCAACAACACAGTTGATTCTCATACACATAAGGGTGAGCAAAAGAAGGTAGATACAAAACATTTCATAATAGAAGTATACTAATTTCTATTTAGTGTAGCAGTTGGGTGGAGTTACCTAGTTGTTCACATACTAAAAATTCAATGAACTAACTATACACTGAATACTAGAGACTGTATGCCCTTTACTGTAAATGTCAGATCTTAATAAAAAAAAAATCAGAAGTTTAAATCCCTTCACTTAGTCATACATGTATGATACTTGTTGTCTCATCTCAGTGTTTTTATTGTGTTAATTAGCCTCACTATCTATTCAGAGTCTTGATAAAGATCATAGCTATGGTGCTTATTTAAAATGTGGATTTTGGGGGGGATGCAGTACTAGGTGACGGGCACTGAGGAGGGCACCTGACGGGATGAGCACTGGGTGTCATACTATATGTTGGCAAATTGAATTTAAGTAAAATTTAAAAAAATGGATAAATAAAATGTGGATTTGGGGGATGCCTGAGTGGGTCAGTCAGTCAAGCATCTATCTGACTCTTGATTTCAATTTAGGTCATAATCTCAGGGTCATGAGATTGAGCCCTGGGTCAGGTTCTGAGCACAGGATGGAGTCTGCTTGAAATTTTCTCTCCTCCCTTTGCCCCTTGCCCTGCTTGTGCAGGCCGAGGAAATTAAGGCCATTCCACCTGAAGTTCAGGGTTAGCCCAAGTACAGCCATCCCAGGCCCCTGGGAATAAGAGCTGACCTTTACCTTACTGCTGTTAAGCCCCATGTTAGAATGAGAACAGAGCTCAAGCCAGTGGCAGGAAGCCCCATATCAGAATGAGAACAGAGCTTAATGCCCTTGAAAGCCCCATATCAGAATGTAAACAGAACTTGAGAAATTCCTCCCCCCCTTCTGGAGGTCCCCCCTTGGGGTCCAAGTCCCTGCACTTGGACCCAAGCTCGAGCTTGTTAATAAACCCTCGTGTGTTTGCATTGGTGTCGGCTCCTGGGTGGTTTCTCGGATACGTAATCTTGGGGACAACACTGCTCTGTGCACTCTTTCTCTTTCTCAGAAATAAATAAATAAATAAATAAATCTTTTTAAAGAATAATAAAAATAAAAAATAAAATAAGGATTCTTTGGTCCCCTCGATACAGGGGAGCTTGGTTATTGTCTCACGCAGTTGAAGAATGAGTTTCATGGACAAAGAAGGGTGAGTAAAGGGATACAAGTTTATTAAGCAAAGAGACAGAGAAAGCTGTCAGAAGTGACAGGGGTCCCAACAGGGTTGCCCCTGAGGGCTTGTAGGGTTGGGCTTTTATTGAAAGCCAACCAGGGAACTTAAATCCTTTTAACCCATCTATGGATATCAGCATGGAGTAAGGACTAGTGATAATATCTTTAATGGCTACTTCTTCTTTGGGGTCAGGTTATTCTTTGTTGGTCTCAGATGACTGTCATAAAAAAGGCACCCTCCCTGCCCACACCTAGGGCAGGGTAGCCTGGCTTGTTCCCTTATCTCTGGGTTCCTCACAGCTCAGCATTTTTTGAATTTTTGTGAGCTCGATTTCATGGCCCCTACCTAGCCCTGGCTAGCCCCCTTTGTCCCTAACTCACCATTCTGGATCTCCAGGATTGAAATCTTTAGGGAAGAGTCTCAGAACTCTGCATTTTTAGCACGGAAGCTGGAAAAGCTTGGCAGCAGGGAGGGAAGGAGGAGGCCGGCACCACTCCAAAGGCCTAGTCCACCCCATCCCCCACCCAGCTCTACTCATTTCCACTGTAGCTTTTCAACCCTGGGCCAGGCAGAAAAATTGAGAGACATTGTGTATTGTTTCAGCCTTGATGTGGGGGAAGCAGAAGACCTTCTAAGCCTCGGCAGGCAGGACGTGCCTTTTGCTGTTGGATGTGTCTTTGGGTTGAAAGTACTGTTCTAGTTTGCTCCTTTCCAATATAAAGGAATTCCTGTGTTTTGCTTGTTTTTTTTTTTTTTTTTATCCCCCTCTAATCATCCTAGTTGAGCTAGAGTATTCAGAGTTTCATAGGTTTTTGTTGGTTTGATTTTGGGCTTTTTTTTTTTTTTTTTTTTTGATTTTGGGTTTTGAAGTTGCAGTAAAGGATTCTCTGCTTTATGTTTTTCTTAATTACAATATCTACGGCTTCCATATGTAAATCATTATGTGGAAAGCATTTTCCGTCCTAGCATTATCTGCAGGACAGAATTTAGTTGTTAATGGAGTCCCTTGTGCAGGTAGCTGACGTGAAGAAAGCCAGTTAATAATGTTGCCACTTTCTACTTTGCAATATTTTTCTAAATCAGTAAAGGAAGCTGGTGGTGGGGGTGTTGAACAAGTGGGTGGGGAGGTGAATGGGGGTGGGGGTGAGATTATAATTCCTGTATCTTTAGCAAACACAAGTGTAAATACTATATACTGTTTAGTTAGTTAAGTAGAGTGTTTGCATAACAATGTTCTCAGAGTGTGGAATATGCCACCAAAACCCAAAACAATATGCTAGAAATTTACTTTCATTAAAAACATTTCAATTTATGGATAAAACAAATTGACTCTGGTAGGGCAGTGGGTGAGAATTAAAGTACAGGAACTCATTTATTTTTTTAAGATAGCATTGGGATTTTTTTTTTTTTTGCATTGGGATTTTTTAATAAAGATTTTATTTATTTATATGAGAGAGAGAAAGAGAGAATGAAGGCGTAGAGGAAGTGACAGAGGGGGAAGCAGACTTCCTGCTGAGCAGGGAGCCCAATGTGGGACTCGATCCCAGGGATCATGACCCGAACCAAATGCAGACGCTTAATGGACTGATCAAAACTCTAGGCAAGGATGACCGCATCCAGACCCTACAGTAGGAGAACTGAGCAAACTATAGCATGGCTTCTAGCAGCCCAGAGCCCTGGAATGATCTGATCCTGCTTAAGTTTCTGTCTGGAACAGCTCATGGCTACCAAGAGAATTACTGTTTGCTCAACCACTGAGCCACACAGGTGTCCCCGTGCTATACATTTCTTAACAAGAAAAAACATTAAATTTTTAATTATAAAAGGATTTTTATGTTCGTCATGCAAAATGATAAAAATAACCACAAAATATAAATCACCTATCCAGTGTTCCCACTACCCTGTTTTGCCTCTTTCTAATCCATTTTCTAACTATTAACTTTTCAATATATATGTCCTTATGATCTATATGTTCTCTGAATATATTTGTATGATTAGCACAATTCTTTTTTTTTTTTTTAATTTATGATAGTCACACACACACACACACACAGAGAGAGAGAGAGAGAGAGAGGCAGAGACATAGGCAGAGGGAGAAGCAGGCTCCATGCACCGGGAGCCCAATGTGGGATTCGATCCCGGGTCTCCAGGATCGCGCCCTGGGCCAAAGGCAGGCGCCAAACCCCTGCGCCACCCAGGGATCCCTGATTAGCATAATTCTAAAAGCAAAAGTAGTACTGTGCTTTTTAAACAGATGTCTTTTCCACTTAATATTTTCCGATATTGGGGGATCCCTGGGTGACTCAGTGGTTTAGCTCCTGCCTTTGGCCCAGGGTGTGATCCTGGAATCCCTGGATTGAGTCCCGCATCGGGCTCCTGGCATGGAGCCTGCTTCTCCCTCTGCCTGGGTCTCTGCCTCTCTCTCTATCACGAATAAATAAATAAAATATTAAAAAAATATTTTCCGATATTATTAAATATTGTTTAGAAATGCAATTTTAGGGGCACCTGGATGGCTCAGTGGTTGAGTGTCTGCCTTTGGCTCAGGTTGTGATCCCGGGGCCTGGGATCGAGTTCCACATCGGGTTCCCCCGCAGGGAGCCTGCTTCTCCTTCTGTCTGTGTCTCTGCCTCTCTCTCTCTGTGTCTCTCATGAATAAATATATAAAATCTTTTAAAATATGCAATTTTAAAATGATACAAGATTCTACAGTTGCTATACTGGATGTGCCATCATTTATTTAGCAACTTCTTGGTGGACTTTCCGGCCCTTTACCCACCAGCAATGTTTCCCTATCACAAACAATATTGAAATAGTCCTATAGGCAAATCATTGTGTTTATCCTTAATTAGTTCCTTTGGATAAATTCTGAAGGGTGCATTTACCTTTACTGAACACGCAGCTCCCACAATCTCCCTTTCCTCTCTTCGGCTTCCCATGCAAGATCTTCTTATGAAGATTTAGATCTTCAAAATCTAGATCCTGGGGGGTGGGAGTGAATGGGTGACGGGCACTGGGGGTTATTCTGTATGTTGGTAAATTGAACACCAATAAAAAATAAATTTAAAAAAAAATCTAGATCCTATTTGATTTTGACTGGGCATTTTAGGAAGCAGCACCACCATCCACCCAATGCTTCAAGCCAAAAACCCTGTGGTCTTACCTGTCTTCTCTAGTACATTGCACATTTTGCCAAGTCCTGTTCACTCCGCTTCTTACCTCTGAGTGTGAGAATTCATTTACTTCTCTTCATCTTCACTATGACCTGTAGACCAGATTGTCATCAGTCTGTATCAGTTCCATAACTGGCTTAACTCTTATTTTCTTAGATTCAATTTCCACATTGCAGCCTGAGAATATTTGCTAACATACAAGTGTAGTCATGTGACTCTGAAATTTAAACTCCTAAAATGGCTCTCCCATTGCTTTTGGGATTGAGTCCATACTCCTTATCATGGCTGACCAGGACTTTTTAAAAGAATAACCTCATTTCTTGACACTCTGCACTTTGCTAAAAGCCTTGGTTGTCTTTTCAGTTCTGCCAGAAACCGTTATTCTACACACCATATCTATATTTCTTGTTGGCTTTGCCCATCCCCTTCATCACATTACCACATCACAGAGTCCATCTAGCACAATGCCTGACATAATAGATGTTTTATTTTTTGTAAAGATTTTATTTATTTGTGAGAGACCCACGTAGAAAGAGAGAGACAGAGAGAGAGAGAGAGGCAAAGACACAGGCAGAGGGAGAAGCAGGCAGGCTCTATGCAGGGAGCCGGACATGGGACTCTATCCCCGGTCTCCAGGATCACACCCCAGGCTGAAGGCGGCACTAAACCGCTGAGCCACCTGGGCTGCCCATAATAAACGTTTTAAAAGACATGTGTTGAATTAATAGGTGTATAAATACTGGGTGAGAGGATGTTAATACAAATATTTTCTAGAAGCTAGATATATATTAGTTGAGAAGAGGTATAGTTAAGTCTATAGTCTCATGCCTAAGTCTAGAGTAATTCAGAGCAATGGGCAAATTCCTGCTTTACACTGGGGGTCAATTACCGGCTCCAGCATCTTTGGTCAGTTTCTGTGCCTCTCTAAACTTGTTTCCACATCTCCGGAATGAAGATACAGTGTCTACTTCAAATAGCGTGAGAATTAAGGAAGACAACAAAGGTCAGATATTCAGTACTGCAGGGGAAGAAAGCTTTTCTTTCATTCTAATTTCTTTGGTTGGTCTAATAATTAAGTTATGAGACAGGTGCTCCTGGTTGGCTCAATTGGTGGAGCATGAGACTATTGATCTTGGGGTCATGAGTTCTAGGCCCAAATTGCGGGTAGAGATAACTAAAAAAAATAAAAATAAAAAAAATAAAAAAAAAACTATCATGGGACAGATTAACAGGAGAAAATCTTAATTAAAACTTACAGGAGTCCGATTAAGACCTGAGAGTCTCTCCAAAAATCAGGCATTTGAGGTTCACATGCTATACTGAACTAAAGAGAGGGTAAGGATCTGGGATTTCAAAGGGGAGAAAGATAGTTCATAGGAAGATGGGAAGAGCAAATACTTGGTAAACAAATGTTTGCCATGCCATGAAGAGAAGTCTTTCTTATGTTAAAAAAAATTATCTTTGTTATAGCTCTCTTCCTGGTACAGCCTTTCTCAATTTTTTTTTTTTTTTTTTTAGATTTTATTTGGGAGGGGGCAGAGGGAGAGGGAGAAGCAGACTCCCTACTGAGCAGGGAGCCCAATGCAGGGCTTAATCCCAGGACCCTGAGATCATGAACTGAGCCAAAGGCTGACACTTAACCAACTGAGCCATCTAGGTGCCCTTTATCTGAATTTCTTTAGATCAGTTAAAGGGGCAGTAAAAAGTTCTTTTTGAGTTTGTTGGGCCTCAATTATCTTTAGCTCCAAATAATCTGCATGCCAAAGGGGCATATTCTGGAATGGCAGGCTCTGAACCCCATCAGTACAGTATCTGGGAAAGAAGTGTTCAATAAATATAATCCAACAATGACAATGGGGATTATGATGCATTGCTTCCAGATGGGTGTTCCATTTTGCATGCCATCCTATTATAGCATTTAGCTGTTTCAATAAGCCTTCCCAGTTGCTATTAGCAATTAAAAATATTTCCTCTTACTGCCTGCAATAAGATAGGCAAACATTTTGCATTTCTTTAATTAATATCTATTATTAGACATTTGTTACAGTATTTATACATTTTGGCCTTCTTTAAAAACAAAAATGCTTCAAGGGTGCCTGCCTGGCTCAGTTGGAGGAGCATGTGATTCTTGATCTCGGGGTCATGAGTTCGAGCCCAACATTAGATGCAGAAATTACTAAAGGAAATAAACTTAAAAATAAAAGTTTGAAAGAAGTGCTTCAGGGCCGCCTGGGTGGCTCAGATGGTTAACCATCTGCCTTGGGCTCAGGTCATGATCCCAGGGTCCTGGGATGAAGCTCCTTATCAGGCTCCCTACTCAGCGGGGTGTCTGCCTCTCTCTCTCTCTCTCTCTCTCTCTCTCTCTCTCTCGGCTCACCCCCATTCTCTCTCTTTCTCTAATGAATAAATTTAAAAAATCTTTTTTAAAAAGTGCTTCAGTGACATCTTCATAAGCATAACTTTTTTTTTCTTCCTAAGGTTTCCTTCGAATAGGTTTCTAGTAGTATTAGTAGTAGTATTATGGGAACACATTCATATTTTTGACCCTTTTGATATGTATCACCAGGTTGCTTTCTATAAAGTACAAACTACATAATCTAATTTTAGGAGCCCTCTCTAAATCCTAATTCTTCTACTTTTTTTTTTAAGATTTTATTTATTCATGAGAGACACACACACAAAGAGAGAGAGAGAGAGAGGCAGAGACACAGGCAGAGGGAGAAGCAGGCTCCATGCAGGGAGCCCAATGTGGGACTCGATCCAAGGACTCCAGGATCATGTCCTGGGCCCAAGACAGGCACTAAACCACAGAGCCACCCAGGGATCCCTTCTACTTGTTTTTAGTTAAAAACAAAAAACATAATTTTGCTTTCCTGTGTTTTATGTATATGGTGTGGTGATCAGTTTGGCCACCACCTTGTTTCTAGATGACTATAGCCACTTATCCTTTCCTGTGGTGATATTAGAGACTTCCTGAGGTCATGTGTGAAATGTGTTAAAATCAAATACACTATATAGGATTAAATATAATGGGCACTTGGGTGGCTCAGTTGGTTGAGTGTTGGACTCTTTATTTCGGCTCATGTCATGATGCTGGTGTCATGAGATCAAGGCCAGTGTCAGGCTCCATGCTGCGTGTTTCAGATTCTCTCTTCCCCTCCCCCATGTCTAGAAAAATTAATGAAAAAATAAGAGATTCTTTTTACAGTCAAAAATTATCCCCCCCCCCCACTATTAGGTAGGTAAGTGACAGAGAGCACTGATATCTGCAAAAATTCAGTTACTTAATACAGCAGCAAAATCAAAGAATAATGACTATATAGTATATACACTAGAGAAGACTTTATTTTTATTTTATTTTTAGATCTATCAAGGAGGTAGTGTTTGACTTTTAGTTAGGATCACATTTGTTGGCAAGTAACAGATAAGAGTTGGAGGTAGGCAGTGTGTGTAATTGGTGTGGCAGCTCCATAAAGTCATCATTGTCCCTGGTTCCTATCTCTTGGTTCTGGGATAGTTACACATGGGTTTCATTCCCATGGTCAGCTCATGGCTTCAAGGTGGTCAGCTCATGGCTTCAAGGTGGCTACTCTGATCCCAGACTTAAGTCCTCCTTTCAAGCAGGAAGAAGAAAAAAGTACAAATGGCAAAAGGCAAAGGGGTATCTGAATCTTTCTTTTTTATCAGAAAAGCAGATTTCTTGGAAGCCATTCCTAATGATTTTTTGCTTACATTCCATTGCCCAAAAATGATCATATAGCCATCTTAGTTGCAAGAGGAGTCTGGAGAGGAAAATAGTTTTAGTTGGGCACATTGCCACCTGAATAACATTGAGTCGGTCGGAGAAAAGGGGGGGAACAAATATTGACCTAGGCAATTGGGTAGTATCTGCTACAGATGCAAATTTGTATGTATGTAGTTTTTCATTACTAACTTGAAAAATCCCATGTTATTTCTCTTAAACTCAAACTAAACTTACCAAATACTTACTCTGTGTTTAAACATCTATTTCATATTAGACCAAACCGAATCAGAAGAAACAAGTATAACTGGGCTTCTCAAACCTGATATTTCTCTTGTTCTTCAGGTTCTTTTTACCTTTTCCCCACACGTGGTGCATAGTATCACTCAGGAATTTGAAATCTGTGGATAAATGTAGTGCCTGACACAGAAAACCCCATCAAACTGCTGCATTTAATCCTGAAATCATTCCTGTGACATATTTTATGTACCAGGGAAAGAAACAGAACATTCTAGGAAATGGGGGTCCCTTTTCTTCTAGCTCAAGGAGGAAAGGTTGCTTTCTCATTTCTCCTTTGCCATGGCTGACATTATTAGCTAACTAGTTAACTAATTGGTTAATATTCTATATCTGGAAGTCCCTGGGCTGCCTCAGTTATTAAAAGCTTCTCAATGTGATTTTATGAATTTCAAATACATGTATTCCATATATTAGATCCTAATTCTACCCATTTAAAGCTAATAGAGGGTCAAAGATGGTAACAAATCTCTTCTGGGGAATCGTGTTTCTTCCATACACTAAATAAATGTAAGTAAAACTTATAATTGTGCTCTAGAACCTGAAAAAAACTTAGATCTAGGAAATAACTGAAACATGAAGTATTTGGTATGTTTTGAGTATTTGGTATGTTTTAGGGATTCAAAAGCAAAATCCAATCATATGGCATAGGATTTTGTACACATAAAAGGTGGTACAGAATACTGGTTAAGGGTGTTTGCTCTTGAGTCCCATTGGCAGCATTATTAGCTGTGTGATGATGGGCTAATTATTTAGCTTCTCTGTGTGCCTCTATCTCTCTCAGGTCAAATGGAGATAACATTAGCATGTATTTCAAAGGATGATTATGAGTTAATTTCCACAAAGAAGCTAGTAGAGCACCTTGCCATTTGTTAGCAGTCCAAAACATTAGCCATTATTTTAGCAATTAGAAATTCCTCTTTTTTTTTTTTTTTTGAAATTCCTCTTTTCCACTGCAATTTAAGGGCTCTTCTCTGGGTCATTTGTGTCAGCAAACTCCAAAATCCAGTTGCGGCAAGCTTCTCTTAACGTGGTTCCACTCTCTTTTTAACATATACTAAAAATGAAATGGAAACTCTGTGTTTCCTTCTGCTTATAACTTTTTTTTTAATTTAAAAAATATTTTATTTATTCATGACAGACACAGAAAGAGACAGCAAGGCAGAGACACAGGCAGAGGGAGAAGCAGGCTCCATGCAGGGAGCCCGACGCGGGACTCGATCCTCGGTCTCCAGGATCTCGCCATGGGCCGAAGGCGGTGCTAAACCGCTGCGCCACCCAGGCTGTCCTCCTTCTGCTTATAACTTAACAAAATAACAATTAAACGAAGCATGTATAACAACAAAAGCCAAGACGATAATCGTTTTACATTCCACAAAAGTTTTTGGACAAAAGCCTCAAACCTATTTCAAAATGTTTTGGTAGTGGCTTAAAGCATGTACTACTCTGATATAGACTTACTATTTGGGATCCCCGGGTGGCGCAGTGGTTTAGCGCCTGCCTTTGGCCCAGGGCGCGATCCTGGAGACCCAGGATCGAATCCCACATTGGGCTCCCGGTGCATGGAGCCTGCTTCTCCCTCTGCCTATGTCTCTGCCTCTCTCTCTCTCTCTCTCTCTCTCTCTCTGTATGACTATCATAAATAAATAAGACACGTCGGGCTCCCGGTACATGGAGCCTGCTTCTCCCTCTGCCTCTCTCTGTGTGACTATTATAAAAAAAAAAGACTCACTATTGTTTAGTTCTTTGCCCACTAAGGGCTCAGTGGATCCTCAAGAGTATAGGTAAACGCACAAGCAAGATTTAATGAATTTCTGCCAGAGGTAAGTAAATGGGGATTTTCTTTTTTTAATTCCTTAAACACTCAAGGCCACATGATGTTGCAAGTAAAGAGAATGCAGCCCGAGTGTCCTCATGGGACACTCCTCACCTAAGAGGAGGCAGCATCTCTTCAGTGGGTCTCAGAAGGTAGCATCCTTGCCACAGGAAGAGCTGGGTTTAGCTGCCTGGATGGGGCTGGGGGGGCGCCGCTGTGATTCCAAGCAGTGGCCAGACATTTGGGAGACCCGCTTCCCAGGCACGAGCACCCCCTGACTAAAAGTTGGGCTAAAAGTCAGACAAGACCATGCATTTCAAACATTACAAACAGGTTGCTCTGGCTAGTTTAGCATTGAGGCCTAAGGTTTCAACAACTGCAGCCTCTGGTAGCAAAAAAAAAAAAAAAAAAAAAAAAGAAAGGTCTTCCCAAAGTGGCAATTGTTTGGGTTTCCGGTGGGGATTCCTACTTCCATACAACTCCAGAAATACAAATTTCTAAGTTTTATGAGTTCATTCAACATTCGCTCTGTGTAAAACCCAGCTATATTCAAAATTCCTGCTCAATTAGGTCTAGTTTTTTAAGTAAGGTCTAGGATAAATGGTAAATGTCTGGTGTGTAACATTTAAGATTTCTGCTAAATATTATAAATGAAACATGGTTGATGTGAGGTTGTTTCTTAAAAGCAACTGGAGGCAGAAAAGCCTATTTGATTAAAAAAAAAATCCGAGTCTAATAGGTCTCTATCGACAAGTATCCTTTGCAGTATTTATTGAAAGGATAAATAGAAAAAAAAAAGAAAGGATAAATAGCGATCAATAGTTTGATCACTATTAAATTTGTGAAAGATTGGTGTTGTGATTGCTAAGTATTTGCAAGCCGAGCAAGAAATCATTTCAAACCTCCTGGATGCGCGGAAAACAACGCCCCGGCTCCTGGACGGTGAGTTTATTTTCCAGAATTTACGTAAAAGGAAATCTTAGAATCCCTGCACACCATCCTCACATTTCTCAAACGCACCTGAGCCACGGCAAGCGCCACCTTCGCGGAACCCGCCATTCTTCACCTCCCGGAGAGCGCATCTTTGTTCCGAGCGGGGGAAGCGAGCGAAAGGGCTCGGCAGGAGTGGGGCGCGGGGCCGGGCCGGCCGGGGGGCAGGGGGTCCCGGCGGGCGCAGCCCCTCCGCCCAGGCCCCGGCGCGTCCACACGGCCGAGGCCGCTGGAGCCTGGCGGTCACAGCCGCGGGCGCGCTGACGGCCGGGGGGGGGCGGGGGGGGGAGCGCGCACCTGCCCGCGGCCGCCGGAGCCGGGCCGGGGGGGCGGGGGGAGGGCGGGGGGAGGGCGGCGTCCCCGGCGCGGGGGGGCGGCGCGGCGCGGGCGGGGGGATTCGCGGTGGGCGCGGGCGCGGGCGCGGGCGCGGCGCGAGGGCTGAGGCGCGGCGGCGCGAGTGCGTCACGCCGGCGGAGGGCACGGTGGGCTGCGGCCGAGCCGCCGACGAGCAGCCGGGCGGCCGGGGCCCCGGGGACGGAGGCGGCCGCACCCGCCTGGCAGCCGCGAGCGGCGCGGCCCGGACCCGCCGGGGGTCGCCCCCCGCCCGCCGCGCCCGCTCCATTCATTCCCGTGGCCCCGCCTCCTCGCCCGGCGCCGGCGGCTGCGGAGGCCCGTCCGAGGTGAGTGCGCGGCCCGCCCGCGCGGGGTCTGGGCTGAGGCCGCGGCCGCCGCGCCCGACCCCGCGCCCCCCGCCCCGCCGGCGACGACGCGGGCCTCCCGGAGGCCGAGGCCGCGGCCCCCCCCCCGCCCTCCTCCCCGCGGGCGCGCGTCCAGCTGCCGGCGGCCGGCCGGGCCCCCCGAGGGGCGTGCGGCGCTCCCCAGGTGCGCGGCCTCCGCGTCGGCGCCACCATTTTGTGTGAGGGGCCGCCGGCGTCGTCCTCGGGGCCGTGATCGCGCGCGCCCGCCCGCGGCGCCGCCTCTGGGGCCGCCCGCGCTCGCCGCCGCCCGGCCTGGGTGCAGCGCCGCCCGGGGAGCGGCGCCGAGACGCTGGGGCTGAGGCGCGCGGGGGCCCGGGGATGCTCGCACCGCGTCCCTCACCTCCGCCTCCGGGGCCGCGCGGGTGCTGAGGGGGATCGCCGGCCTCGGTGCAGCGCCGCCCGCTGAGGAGGCGCCGCCGGGTGAGCGCCCGGCCACGCGGGTGCTGAGGGGGACCCCGGCGACGCTGGGACCGCGTCCCTCCCCTCGCCTCCCGGCGCGGCCACCGCGGAGCTGCTGCCCTGGAACGCGCCCCCCCCCCCCGGGTCTGACACCGCGCGGCCCGCTGTGCGCAGGCCTGCGCCCCGGGAGCCCGGGAGCGGGGAGCGGGGAGTGGGGCGCGGGGCCTGGAGCCGGCGCGCTACAGCGGCGGGGACGGTGGCGCCTCCTGCTCCCTCGTCGGTCCCTGAGGCCGCTGTGGCTCCGGGAGGCGCCCACCTGCTGCAGGCCCCCTTCCCCCTTCGCCGACCCCGTGCCCCCGCGGGACGACCTGGGAGGGGGCCGGGCCGCCAAAGCGGGCCCTCGAAGCCTGCGGAAGGGACAGTTGTAACTGAGAATCACAGCTGCCACAGTTTGTGATTTTCAGGGTTGCTGAGGATCTGGTAATTCCTGTTTTGATGTATCTTCTCGAAACTGTGCCGAAGCGCCTGGTGGATTGAGTGGGCGCCGTTTGCAGCTTACGCGGCGTCGCGGGCTTAGAACCTGGCCCGGTGGTGTTGCATAATACACACGCTCGGCCTCGGCTGGGCCTCGGAGGGAACTCACCAGGATGGGTCTGGCTTTGAGGTAACACGGATCATGTGTTTACGTAGGTGGCCTGGTTGCACCCGAGGTGTGCGGGCCCTGGCTGCAAACCACAGGAGGAAAGATTTTTGGTGCCTCACACGGACCAGATTAACTTCCTGTGTTGAGGGGAGGACAGGGCGTGGAATAGTAAGGGGAGCCCGGGAACGGCCCTTTGTGATAAGCCTTACAGCATCAGTCTTGCAGGGTAAGTTTGCGGGTGTCCTAGCAGCCTCCTCTCTTTGAATTGATTGATTGATTGATTGATTGATTTTATTTATTCATGAGACACACACACACACACACACACAGAGAGGCAGAGACACAGGCAGAGGGAGCCCGATGTGGGACTCGATTCCCGGTCTCCAGGATCACGCCCCAGGCTGCAGGTGGCGGCTAAACCCGCTGCGCCACCGGGGCTGCCCCTCTCTTTGAATTTATGATGACGATTGGTTTAGGGAACTTAGAATATAAGCAGCAATATTAGCCTGCTGCACGAGTAATGGTCTAAGATGCTTCACCTGTGGATTTAAGGTTGTGAAAAGTTTCAAATTAGTCTGACTTGACAGTAGTCCGGAATCGTATTAGAATCATTACAGGTGGTATCCTTTTCTAGTAAAGGTAAAGGGCACAACTCTGATTCGGATAAAACACAGTGTTTTATAATAAGAGTAAAATTTGTCACTCTTATGAAATTGCTCTAAACAGAAATGTCCTGCCTCTCATTAGTGACACGTTCTAGGAGAAGAATCACGGAGGTGAAAGGGACCTTGGACATGGAGAGATGAGCCTTGTGGTAGGGAACTTGAGCAAAAGTACAGATTGTCTGAAAGGGGTTGGCGCTATTTTAGGGAATAAGCAGGGAATAAGGATTGATCCTCCCGGCAAGTTCAGCTCTGAGCTACAGTTCTGACACCTTTACATTGATTCTGTTAATACACAGTTTATAGAGGTTCACTAAATTGGTACTATAGTATTTTATTAACTCCGGCTTGGATTAATGTGGTTTGTGATTTTGAGCATCGTGTCACCAATGTTTGGGAAATAGAGAAGGAAAAAAAAAAACCTCTTAATTTTTTTCCCATTAACTCCTACTCCTCCTCCCTTTTTTAATTTTAAGGTTTCTTTGGTGGGGTGGTGGAGAGAGCATGGGTGTGGGGAGGGGCAGAGGGAAAGGGACAAGGAGTGTGGAGCCTACCACTGCGGCTGGATCTCAGGAACCCTGAGATCATGACTTAAGCTGAGGCCAGATGCTTAACCGACTGAGCCACCCAGGTGCCTGGTCGCCTAGGAGGAGAAATATGGAGGTGAAAGGGAGCTTAGCTTGGACCTGGAGAGGAGATGAGTCTTGTTTTAGGGAACTTTTACTTTGGGAGAGGGAGGAGTTAGGGGAGGGAAAGAGAATCTGAAGCCACTCCCTGCTGAATGGGGAGCCTGAGGTGGGCTCATCTCACCCCTGATCTTGAGATGTGATCTGAGCCGAAATCAAGAGTCTGTCACTCAGCCTACTGGTGCTGTCTAACTGTTTTAAAACCTTACGTGTGTTATGTTATGTGCCTAAAAATGCACAGAGATTTACTTTTTAAAGGTAATTAGAATATAAGAGGATTGAATATTCAGGCAGAGGTTCCAAAGGATTTATGAAAGATTCGGTAGAAAAGATTATTGGTTGAACAGGAAATGAAACAAAACTTTCATGTTTCTTCCCGTTTCTTTTTGTGATTCTAAAAGGAGAAAGGAATTGCATAATTGCTGTGTTTGAGATGATTTTCTCCTCACACATCATTTGGCTTTTGATCCGTTGTATATTTAACCCTGAAATGAAAGTTCGAAGGTTGGTATGCTTCATAGGTAGTAGGATATTTCACAGTTCTTTCCAACAATTACTCAGAGTTGAATTTATTATGGAAAAGGTGTCCTGGTTTAAAATAATCAGGGAAAAGCTGATAATTTACTAAAGACATCCTAAAATAATTAGGCTTATTCAGTTTCAGGGCTGGTATATGAGACCTTAATGTTTATCCTCTCTGGAGGAGGGAACCACTCCCTTAGCCCCACCTATTCTTTGTCTGAGAAGGTTGTGACATCACATATTTTTTAAAAATATATACCATTTGTAGGTACTGCTGGCTCCAGTGAGACATTACTTTTAGCCGACACTAAAGATAGCTTTCCTTTAATTCAGCAAACACCGATTGTCTGTTGTATGTGAAGGGACACAAAACCAAGTAAACCTCCCCTTCATGAAGTTTATAGTTAAGTGAATTTTTGTGGATTATTATTTTTTTAAAGATTTTTTTTAGATTTATTCATTTATGAAAGAGAGACAGAGAGGCAGGCAGAGACACAGGCAGAGGGAAAGGCAGGATCTGTGCAGGGAGCCTGATGTGGGACTCGGTCTCCGGTCTCCAGGGTCACCCCCTGGGCCAAAGGCAGGCGCTAAACCGCTGAGCCACCCCGGGATCCCCAATTTTTGTGGATTAAAATGTTAAAGATTCCTTCAAGTCTATAAATGTACACAGAGTTTTGCAGCTATGGTTTGTGCAGTGGAGAGGGGTCAGCTGCTGAAAGGAACTGAGGGAAGGAAACTAAGAAATAGAATTGAGAGAGGGTCCAGGGAAGGAGAGAAATATTGAAATAGCAGAATCATCAGTTGGGTTTGGTCTATCATAAGGTCAGGAGGGTGAGGGTGAAAATAATCCACTGAATTTGAGAGTTAAGAGGTCAGGGAGGCTTTAAAAAGAGTACTATCAGCGTAATGACGAGGGGAGAAGCCAATTGAGGAGTGACTAGGAGTGCTGAAAATGTTAATAAGCTTGACTTTTTGTTATACAACAATTGATAAAGAAATAAACTGTAGTATTAAGTAATTTTATAGTCTAAAATCTCTCTTTTTTTTAAGATTCTATGTTTACTTATTTGAGAGAGAAAGCACAAGCAAGGGGAGCAGCAGAGGGAGAGGGAGAAGCAGGCTGCCCACCGAGCAGGGAGCCGGACTCGGGCCCCATCCCAGGACCCCAAGATCATGACCTGAGCCAAAGGCAGATGGTTAACCACCCAGGCACCCCTAGTCTGAAATCTATTACGCGTAAATACCAGTGCTTTCAAGTTTGGGTCAGCCCCCAATTAATACCTGATGAACTGACTCTGATTCTTCACTTAATGGTAGTTACTATTCAGAGGCAGTATAATAATCCACAACTCAAGGCAAATAGACATGGATTTGAAACCTGGCTTTGCTGTTTCTAGCTGCCTTTTAAGATGTTTAATCTCTTTGGGCCCCAGTTTTCTCATCTATAAAAGAGTAGTTATAACAGAGTTTATCTTAAAATGTTGGCAGAGTTAAGTGTGATA